TACTACCAAACAAGAAAAGAGGAGAATCTTTGAATCTCTATGGAGCTTTGGTTGATCAGGGCTTTTGGTTTAGAGAAGTTAGAGAAAAAGGTGAGAGTGACAGAGAAAGAAAACAAGCAGGAAGATGCTAGCTGGACTTAAAGAAGTAACTTACTGATGACACCAATGACACTGAGTAGTGGGAAAGGCAGGAAAAGTAAGGTTCTTCTGGTTGATAAGTGTAAGCTGGATCTGGTACTGGTTGTTGTTGTTTCTGGGTGGTCTGGAGTCTGAAAATCCTCTGGAAGCAGAATCAACAAGCTCAGAGAGGATTTTCAAAGTTGGATTATGTAATCTGGCATGTACATGTGGTAGAGGGAGCTGAAACCTAAAGGCTGGAATAATTCTTTGAGGACTGTGAATTATTACAAAGTCAATGAAGGGATGGAGTTGAGTAAAAGTGATCAGTGGTGACTAGGGTTAATTTTACACCAGGAATCCATTTCTGAAGTCAGAATGGTTAAAAGTCTTGAGACAAAAAAGATAAGATAATATTTGGAATAGAAATGGGCAGTTTTGGCAGTCTTTTGGCCAGCTTGGCTGGCTCTAAGGCTGACAGGCGAAGTGGAAGGTGTCGAGTTTGAATAAATTCAGAAGAGCTTTTCGGGCCTGAGTCCTCAGAATTCATGATTATTATCAAAGAAGACTTCAATTTATTTCCCTAAGAATACTCAAGGAACAGTGTGTTGAAAACCTGAACCTAGTGGGCCTGAGCTTTCCTTGCTGGTGAGATAAGGTTGCTACTGATAGTCTATCTCTCACATACAGCACAGCAGATGCACGGAGCCTCGCAAACAAGGATGGTGGATTGGTAAATTGAGAAAAAAAACCCTGATTGTCGTCACCGATTTGCGTTTTCTCCCAAGCGCCCCCGTGACGTAGCTGTAAAAGCGAGAGGTCTTCCTGCATCAGTTTTGCTCTTAATTTGGGTCCCTGTTGAAGATCCCTTGTGGCTTGAAGAGAAAACAAGACCAGAGCAAGGAAACTGTAATGAAATAACATTGAAGGATGATTGAAAAAGAAGACCGATATCTGAGCCCAGGTGAAGAGGAAGACCATGGGAATCTTGATGAGAGAAAGCCACAAGCGACCCAAAAGTTGATTGAAGATATAGCTGCTGATTCTGGCCACTCGATTCATGGGACCCACATGATTCCTGGATCTTGCTTTATTGATGCCACTGCCCTTACACCTAATCGATATAATGGTGAATCGACTACGCCTTTTCTTTCTTCTCATAGCAGACTTTTTTGAAGAATCCTTCCTTCTCAACTTCGACAACAAACCAAGCTGCCATCTTTGTGCAATCCGATCCATTCTTTGTTGTCCAATTGCAAACCGATCTTCTGTCTGATTGAAATTACAAAAAGGTACTCTGACCACCTCCTCGCTCTTGTCATCGCTGGCTAAAACAAACATGGTATCGATCCCAATAGTAGATTTGCCGTTGAAGCGATCGTTCCCTACTTCAAAGGCTTCAGAAGAGAACACCTCGCTTCCTTGAAAAATCGCGAACTGATCTACCTTCTGATTGATGCTATAGTAAGTTGCTTTAATTGCCTCCATGGCCGTTTCTTCTTTAAATTCAACATATCTAATGCCCAGGCTGTAACTGGTATTCTGCTGGACAGGGCAACCGCCGATGGAAAGGAGACAAGGCAAAAACTGTTGCCCAGGCGCGAGTTGGACTACCTTGCGATCAAGACTGTAGTAAGCTGTTCTAACTGCCTCGATGGCCTCCATCCTGACAATGATAAAAACTGAAATATTGCTATCGTTCTCAATCGGAAATCGTAGGTTTTCATCAACTGTCCCCTCCAATACCAAGGCTAGATTCCGTGTTTTTGCTGCGTCTGAGTTGTGGAGAGGGTCTGAGAACAAAATAATGTATCTTTTTGCGAACCGATCCATCCTATTTTGCTGAACATGGCCGTCGCCGATTGGATGAAAACATGACTTGCAAGGACAAAAAAAATTGAATTCCAGGCCTTTGACCGTGGATTCCTCCCCCAACTTGGCTGATGGCCCCATCAGCTTGGAAGAAAAAGGAACCTGAGCAAGGTTGGAAAGTTGGATCTGGCCTGTGTAATTGTTGGTGGCTATGCTGGAAGGTAAAGGTGATTCCCCAAGTTTTTGGCCTCTAATATTCAAGTTGACTGATAAATTGTGAAGTTTGTTCTTGTCATTTTCCTTAATATAATTTTCAAGCAGTCTCTCCAGTATGCCCAACTCTCCAGTTAAAAACCTAGTCCCTTCAATATGATTTGGTTTTAGTCCATGTGGGGAAGCCAAATCAGCTGGGATGAAACTTTCCATGGGGCCTCTTTTCAAAAGATTCTGGTGAGCTGGTTCTTGAGAAATGAGTTGCTTGTGCCAAGGAGGGTTAACATAGTGAGTATCTATATTGATTTCATCTCCAATTTTTCCAATAATGGCTGAATTGTTATCCTCTGTTGGTAAGGCCATATTGGGAGAGTTCTTCAAGTCTTCTATTAATTCAGAATCCAAGGTAAGTATTCCTCCATAACTAAGAAAATTACCCTGATCAATGACTGAGAGCTTGTGGTTCATTTCTCTCCCTGCTCCAGGGTCTTCTGTGGCCAAACTAGTATGGAATGAATATTTCCTGGGAGGTTTTTCTGTGGGGAGAAATTGAAGGTGCTGAATTTCAGAGTACTGGGAATATTCCATGCCTTGAGATGTAGAGGGATGAAGAGTGGTAAAATTGGAGGAAGAGCTGAGGTCTGTTGAAGAAGAGGAGAGAGTAAGGTCGTTCAACTTGAGTAAGTCTGATTTGCCTGTTTCCATGGGATTTTCTTTTTCCTGAGTGGTCCAATTTTCTGTAGCTGAAGTTTCTTTCTTTTTCCAGGCTGATATGTTCCTTTTTGCTAGGTCTTCTTTGTGGGCTCTGAGTTCCTCTGGAGAAATTTCCACCAGCTGGCCAAAGGAGGAGAATAACTGGACTGAATTCCTGGAATATTGGTCCACCACCTGTTTTATTGGCCTGCTAGTGTCCCCATGGAATTGTGGTGCTGTCTGGAAGCTTGAATAATTTTCCATCTCTGGCTACTGCCCCAATGGATTCATCATAGAGTACTGAGTTGCACTTTCTGGTACCATGGCCTTTGAGAAAGCAATAATAACATTTGAATTCTGATTTTCTAGGAGCTGGTGAAGATGACTGGGAAGGAGCTGGTCCTGAAGGATGAGTTGGGTTGATTTTTACATAGTAAGCTTCAAATTTCCTGGTAAGTTCTTCAAACTTTTGTTCTAATTCATTGGAGCAGGCTGGAGTAGATGGCTTGGGAGCTAGAGATGGATTCTTGATGGCAGAAGTTGAGTTGTCCAATTCCTTAGTGGGTTCCATGGGTTCCATTCTGTGAAGTTTTCTTCTTTCCATAACTGATGTTGACTGAACCTCCCTGTGTATGTAGGCCAAAATAATTTGAGTATCTGGAAGAATATCCCCACCATCCATGGAAGAAAGCATCTTGTTGTCCCTGATGAGTTCCCTAGTGACTGAGGCCTCCAAATCAGGACTGAGAGATTCCAGTAAGAGCTCCCTGAATTCCTCCAAGCTGTTAGAGTATCCCATCCTGAAGAGATAGGTGGTAACTGATTCAAATTTGGTCCTGAAATTCTTGAATTCCTCCAGAGTCTTGATTCCTCCAGCTTGGATAGCAGTGTTGACCAATTTCTTCAAATCCTGCCTAGAGTATTTGACCAAAGGAAGAGAGGATCCAAACCTGTTGAGTAGTTGTGCCTTCAAAAGTTCCCAGTCGGAGTCCTCATGGCCAGTCATTTCTTCCACTTCATCCTTGAGGTCCATTCCATGAATAAAAGATATAATCTGTCTAGCCAAATCTTGAGCAGAAGCATCATCAGCTAATCCAGCATTCTCATACCTCTTGATAAATTTTTCCACAGGCATGTTGGTTCCATCAAAGAAAAGTTCCTTATCCATGGGCTTGATTTTGACTGATCTAGTGCTGGTTCCTTTGTACCTGGGTAAAACTGGCTCCTTGTCTAGGAAGTGAGTGTCTGGATTTCTGGTGAATGAATGGGCTGATTGCTGATTGTTGTAAATATTGTTTGATCTGGAAGTAGAATGAGAGATGGTCTGTCCAAGGCTGGAAGTTGAGGGTGGGACATTGTTGCTGGTGGATTCCTGGCCAGGGTAAGTGTTGTTGTTAAATCTAGTATCCTGAGACATGTCTTCTGGTTGAGTGAGAAAGTTGTTGACTGGTATATTATGGTTATTCAGGTGAAGTAGAATGGCAGCAGATGTAATATAAGGAAAAAGAGTGTAGGAATTGAAGAAATATTTCTGGGAAATGGAAAGGTAATAGATATGTAGTCTGATTCAAGTAAAATGATGAAAATGAATTGGGAGGAAGTATGGTAAAGATGAGGATGAAATTATGTTTCTGAGTTGACTAATATTCTGTAGATATCTGGAGAATAATAAATCTGGAATAGAGAGGAAAGGATATGAGGGATAGCAAGGGAGAGGGAGGAAAGTAGGGGGAAAGGTATGTAGGTAGTGATACTAAAAAAGCTGATAGTAATAGTGTTACTAGGACTAAAATCTAAAGGAAGTCAGGCCACTGTTGGGACACCACTTGTGGAACTACTCAACCAGGGAGATAGAGCTTGGAGGGGATATAGACAACTACACTAGTACTAATGTAAGTTGAGACTACAGGTGCTGATGAGGCTGCCCTTCCTGTACAATGCTAATGGGTAGAGTGTAACACTAAGAAAAAGAAGAATAGAGGTGTGGCTGATTTCTACTTTATCTTAGACTGCTATTACTGATGAGCTTGTGTATGTAGTACCTACAGAGGTGTGAGGAGGAGGAGAAATGAGGTGTGAGGGGATAATGCTGGCAAGGGTGTAAAACTGGCAATGAGGAATGACACTGGAAAAGGGGAATAATCTGGCAAATGAGGATTTATAACTGGCAAAGGGGGATGTATAACAGGCAAATATAACTGGCAATGATATCTGGTAAGGATATAAGGGTGATACTAGTGTTTCTGATTTCTAAGACTATGGTTAGAAGATAATTCAGGCAAGGTACATAGCATGAGGGGGAAAATACATGAGGAGGAAGAAGGAGTATATAAGTGTACAACATGTACATACAACAGTAAAGCACCATGGCTGGGGAAATCCTGGCTATGGGTAATGTAAATCTTAAACAGTAATGAGTGATGAGAAATAATGTAGCTAAGTGACAGATGTTCTGTGTATACAAGTGTTAATCAGGTATGGAAAGTCAAAGCAGTGTGAAAGGAAATATGTACATGATGTAATGTAGTTAAGGTTATCCTGATTGATGTATGTAATTATGGTTATCCTGAATATGTAGTGTAGTATCTAGGAATGATGATGTACCATGATGAATGAGTGATTCTCCTCTACCGACTGTAACTATATAATGTGTAATGTACATG